GATGATCAAAAGAGCCATATCGGTGGTAGGTGAGCAACCAAAGACAACAAACAAGATGTTTTTCTTAAAATTATTTTATTTTTAATAAAAATAATTATCGGATATCGAAAGATTTTTTTTTTCAACTAAATTTTTCATAAAATTTGTTTGAAGTAATAGATGGCTATAGTAATAGTATATTGGATGGTAGCGCCATCTAGTTTTTTATAAAATATTTTTTCTATCGTTGTGGATCAAGTTTTCATTTTGTATGGCAGAAGCGAAAAAATATCATTCCAAACATTTAGAGTATGATTTCAATCTTAACTGTTATTTGTCTTGCAGCAGAACCATATAAACGTGTCGATTTGCTTATTTATACGAAGCCTATTGCACTCTGATAGATACACACGCAATATCTGTAAGTTCGACAATAACTTTGAGAAATATGTAGGATGTGCTAATCATTGATTAAAAAAAATGAAGATTATATTCTCAGGATGATTATTTGATCTCGTTATAGAAAACATCATTAAAAGTTTACTATTGAAATGTTTAAGATTTTGAGTGGATCTTAAAGATTATTAAGTTCTTTTATAAGCATTTTTTCTTGTTTGTAACAGTTAGACAACATTTACTTAATGAATACAAACAAAGAACTATTATTCCACATATTCTTCCATCATTAATATTTTCCTACTGTTTCGTTTCCTTGCTTCATAGATTTTATACGTGTTAATTCTTATAGTAATGATAGTATTGACTAATTAAATTAATATTATTCTCCAAAGTTTTATAAATGACTATAGAATACTTTAGAACCGTTTTGTCTCTTCTATCATTTGTAATAATTTATTAAAATTTTCTTTCTGTTATGCAAATACAAATACCATTTAAAATAATTTCAAATAAGGAACGATGGATTTTCAATTCATAGAAATTTTGTGAATCCGACAAATACAGGATGCACATGCATGATTTGTACAGAAAAAAAAATACTATTTCATGAAGATGATATATATGAAAACATCACCATGATTAGTATACTAAGAATAAAATAATTAGTACTTTTGTAACTGAATTTCTATACATTCTATCACCGTCATATCTATTCATCCGTTTTTTGCATTCTAAACAAACTTTATAAATCATGTTTTCATCAAAAATTTAGTAACAAGATTTTTATTTGATTCAAATACTTACTAAAGAGGCGTGTGTAAGTTCGACGATTATAAACTTTTGCCAATCACAGCTATGCCCTCAAGTCCTTTTATCTACATACTCATCAATGATATATGATATCAGCATAAGCTATTAAACTATTCATGAAAACTTTTCTTAGATCAGCAAGAAAAGGTTAATATCATTCCACAATTCTTTTACTGACATAATGATACTTAAACTCAATAAACAACGCATGAGTTTTGTTCAATTTCAATTAAGCTATGCAGTTAAGTAAACAAAACATAATTAAATGCGAGAGTAATTTTGAGCATATACAAAACCATATCGAAAAAACAGTTTTCCTATTTGCAAAAGAGTTCTTCACTGAACTCATTTCCACTCTGGATAAATTCTTAGTAACTCAGCTATGCAGGTAGAAATTCTTAAGAAATTCTGAAAATCCGAAAAAATGATCTAAAGGTAATTTAGCAGTATTAAACATGAAATTCTTTCGAGCTCATCTCTATTGAATAGAATCGTCTTTTCTAAACATTATTCAACATTGCACGTTATACGGCTCATTACTATTCTAGAAAAATCCTTTCTGTTTCAGTATCATTCAACGAAACATTTTCCATCAATATTACTGAGAATAACTTCTCAGATTTTTATTATTATCTCACAGAATCTTTCATTGTTCGCAGTCGTCTACAACGATCTTTGAAAGTCTTGGTACTACCATATCAGGCATTTTCAGCCCTACTTCCATTAGGGATAACCTTTATTAAGCGTTATATTATTTTAATACACAATCCCATCCTGATTTACCATATGCTGCATTATCACAAAATGCTTTTCTAAAACCTTTTTTTTTTTTCTTTTGCAAAATCTCTTTTCCATTATAGCAAAACCTCTCACTAAACATTATCACAAGAATGAACATTAAATTGAAAAACAAGCAGTTTTATTTGGGATGTTCATGAAAATTACATTACAAAAAAAACTATCATCATTACTAGCTATGTATCAGCTATCGAAGCTTTTTATTGCGTGCAATACATTCATTGATTTCATGTTCAGTAGCGTATTTGATCTCATTCATGAAGATGCTTACGGTAGTAAGTGTCTAAATCAAACAATGCAGATAAAGATAAGGTATGGCTTAAGAGAGAGTAGTACTTACTGTATTATGTCTTAATAAATCAACCAAATGTTGCGCTCCAATATCTCCGATATAATTACTTTTAAGATTTAGCGTGGTGAGTGTCTAGAGAAAAAGGCGCAAAAAAAGCATGCTGTAGATGGGGAAAAATGCTAATTACTGTATTATGTCGTAATGCATCAGCAAGATATCGTGTTCCAACATCTCCGATTCGATTCCCGTAGACATCTAGTGTAGTGAGCGTCTAAATGAAAATGTGTAGGTAAGCTATAGTTTATATGAAGATAGAATGACAATTACTGTGTTATGTCGTAATACGTCAGCTAAATGTTGTATTTCAACAGCTCTGAAATTATTATATTCGAGAATTAGTGTAGTGAGTGCCTACACAAAAATAGTGTTGATAACAATGAGACATAGCTGAACAGCGAATGATAACTACCGTGTTATGTCGTAATCCGTTAGCTAAATGTTGTGCTCCATCAACTCCCATTTGATTATTTTCGAGACCTAGTATGGTGAGTGTCTAGATGAAAAAGTGCAATAAAAGACACGCTATAGACGAAAACAAAATTTAGTTACCGCATTATGTCGTAATACATTAGCCACATGTTCTGCTCCAACAGCTCCAATTTCATTCCAACCGAGATATAGTTCAGTGAGTGTCTAGATGAAAAATGAAGGTAAAGACATGACATAGGTGAAGAGAGTGTTAATTACTGTATTATGTCGCAATAAATCAGCCAAATGTTGTGCTCCAACGGCTTCTATTTGATTGTGTGCGATATCTAGTGTGGCGAGCGTCTAGATGAAAAAATAAAAGTAAAGACATAGTACAGGTGAGGAGAGAATAATAATTACTGTGTTATGTTGTAATCCATCAGCCAAATGTTGTATTCCAACAGTTCCGATTTCATTCCATCTGAGAGATAGTGTGATGAGTGCCTAGATGAAAAGTCCAGGTAAAGATCTAGTACAGATGAAGTCAGAATGATAATTACTGTTTTATGTCGCAATATGCCAGCCAAGTGTTGTGCTCCAACAACTCCGATTCTATTAGCTGCAAGATTCAGTGTAGCGAGCGTTTGAATGAAAAAGCGCAGATAAAAACATATGGTAGAAGAAGAAAAAAATGCTCATTACTGTGTTATGTCGTAATACATTAGCCAGATTTTGTACAGCAAGATTCCCCAGGTAATTATGTGAGAGATCTAATGTGGTGAGTGTCTGAATAAAAGTGCGAAAAAATACATTATGTAAATGAGAAAAAACTACTAATTACCGTGTTATGTAGTAATCCGTTAGCTAAATGTTGTGCTCCAACATCTCCGATTCTATCACTCTGGAGATTTAGTGTGGTGAGTGTCTAGTTGAGATAGTGCAAAAAGAGGACATGATATAGATGGAGAAAAAATGCTAATTACTGTATTATGTCTTAATGCGTCAGCCAGATATGATGTTCCAACATCTCCGATTTCATTCCCGCAGACATCTAGTGTAGTGAGCGTCTTAATGAAAAAGTATAAGTAAGCTATAGTTTATATGACGAGAAAATGATAATTACTATACTGTGCCGTAATACATCAGCCAAATGTTGCGCCCCAATGTACCTAATCTGATTATATCGGAGATATAGTGCGATGAACGTCTAGATAAAAAATGCTGGTCAAGACGAGGCATAGATGAAAAGAGAATGATAATTACTGTGTTATGTCGTAATCTATTAGCTAAATATTGTGCCCCAGCTTCTTCGATTTGATTGTGTCCGATATCTAGTGCGGTGAGCGTCTAGATAAAAAGTGCTGGTAAAATCGAGGCGTAGATGAAAAGAGAATGATAATTACTGTGTTATGTTCTAATCCATCAGCCAAATGTTGTGCTCCAATATGCCCGACTTGATTACCTGTAAGATTAAGTGTGGTGAGTGTCTAGATGTAAAAGTGTAAGTAAAGATTTGGTTTATACGAAGAAAGAATGATAATTACTGTGTTGTGCCGTAATGCATCAGCCAAATGTTGTACCCCAGCATCACTGATTTTATTGTGTCCGAGATCTAATGTGATGAGCGTCTAGGCAAGAAATGCTAGTAAAGACTAGGGATATATGAAGAGAGATTGATAATTACTTTGTTATGTCGCAAGCCATTAGCTAAATGTCGTGCTCCAATATTTCCTATTTGATTGGATCCAAGATCTAGCGTAATGAGTGTCTAAGTGGAAAATGCAAAAAAGAGATAATGTAAATGAAGAAAGAATGCTATTTACTTTGTTCTGTTGCAGTCCATTAACTAAGTATCGTGTTCCAACAGCTCTGATTTGATTATTTGCGAGATTTAGTATGGTGAGCGTCTAGATGGAGAAGTGTAAGTAAAGATATAGTGTCGATAAACAGAGAATGATAATCACTTTGTTATGTTTCAATCCATTAGCTAAATACTTTGCTCCAACGTCTCCGATTGAATGACCAGAAAGACTTAATGTAGTGAAAGTCTAGATAAAAAAGTGGAGGTAAAAACATGGTATAGATAAAGAGATAATGGTATTCACTGTATTACGGCGTAATGCATCAGCCAAATGTTGTAGTCTAGCATCTCCGATTTGATAGTATCCGAGATCTAATGCGGTGAGTGTCTAAATGAAAAAGTGTGGATTCAGATATAGTATGGATGAAAGAGGAGAGTTATTGGTTGATGTTATATTCTATTAGACTAATAAAATGTGTGCTGATATAACTTAACTGAACATTATATCGATATAATAGTGAATATTTCTTGAGTTTTGGATCCTATAACATGGTCAATGGTGTCTCATGAATAGTTGAATTAAAGCCGAATTACTAATGATGAGGCATAGATGGGATATTTTGATATATGATTTGCTTGGATATTTGTGGACGAACGCGAAAGCTCTGGTATATGAGTATTATCTGTGGAAATTGGTGTGGCTAAAGACACTTGCTAAGCGTTGGATTATGTGCTCGAATGGCAATGTCTTGAATTTAATGTTTTATAGGATTATGATATATAGTAGATCAATTTATAGTGTTCTCAAGGTACAACGAAAGATAGTCTTTTGTTAGTGGTCTATGGACGAGTTTATTGCATTGTGTGTTGGTGTAACTCAGTATGTGTTTTGCAGTAGAATTGCGTTTGTTCTATCCAGTTGTCTTTTCATTCGGGCGCATAATTTATATTGGTAAAAAAAATGTATTGATTTTGATTGTTGCTTCCAATAGCAATATACGATCGTGCGCAAGAAACAATGTTGAGTTGTGGCAAGTAAGGAATTAAAGCATTTATTTCATACTATTTCATTTAAGAAAATGTGTTTCAGAACAATTGTTGTGGAGTAATATTTACTTCAGTAGTAATATTCGTTGAAGCAAGACCCATTTTTATGCTACGAGTGCGAGTGATGGTATTGGATGAGAATATGAATATTCTTGCGGATAGATCTTCTCTTTATCCACATTTACTGTCACATATACATTTAGTCGCTCATATATTCAAATGAATATTTTTCGGAAACTTGTGTCATAAAAGTTTCTAAGAGTAACTATAACAAGATAAACTAGTTTATACACTGTGAAATTCGTTCAAAATCTAATTTTTATTATCGAAATAGTATTTAGGAAAACATGTTAAGATACAAATATAAGCAAATAATAATTTATTGTTCGTTTTTCTTTCGTTCTTATCTAAACATTACGTGTCTATAACATCTTACTCGGTTTGAAACATGAAGTATCGAAAAGATATTGAATAAAAAGAAGAAAATAAATTATTTTTTCGTGATTAGCTGTATATCATTTCTATATTTTATGTTAAAAAAAATGAATTTCTGGAGAGAGAGTGATAACTGATAAAGTATTTTCATATATGCTATTGAAGTTATTCTATTTGAAAATAGAGATTTTTGAATGAAAAATAGTCTGAGGAACGATAGATAAAAAATACATGGTGGTGATAGGAAAATGCTTACCTGATATCGAGGATAAGTTTCTATAATGTCACTGAATCGTTGACATGCATTTTTCATCGAACATACCATGGTGAAATCTGATACATGATCCATAATTCGGTAGACAAGTTCTACCGGTAATGTAACAAAGGAAGTCATGGTTTGCTTTGCTATTGTGAGCTGTTGCTGAAATATGTGTTGTGCAGCTTTATACGATATGTTGTTGTTTTCTTTCAACTAAATGCGCAAATATTTGTCTTGTGTCATAGATTTCGCACGATGTTGTGATAACAGGTAAGAAGAAAAATGAAAAAGAATGTTGTAAACTACAAAATGAGAGAAGAAAGATAACGACTGGGCACAACATTCTTATTTGTTAAGATTGTTTTACCTGTGTAAGGTTTTATACAATAGGCATGAGTATTTTTTCTTTGTTATAACTAGAAAAGGTTGAATTATTTTCTTTATTGATTTATTTTTATTGAAAATCTATATTGTCATCTGACTATAAGATGATTCAGAACATTTTGCATAAGAAACCGAGGGAGAAGACTGTGCGGAGGAAAAGCTTACGATTATTAATGTCATGATCGATGAATGTTATTACAATCAGATTTTCTGCCAAATAATTTGTCTGAAATACTAACAATATTTATTGTTAGATGATATTAATACAGAAAATACTATTACTGATGTAATTAAAAAATAAATTATATTAAATAATACAATGATAACCACAGCTTTTCGGTTTCCTTTTAAACTATAGTTTACCAGATACTTATGAGCTCTTGTATACTTCAAGATACTGATACCAAATAGAATAAATTCAAAATTTTCAACTCATAGAATGACATGATAATTGAAAAGTTAAAAATATCACATTGTTGTTTGTAAATATATCTGTACTCATAACATAATATCAGTATTTTTATATATTCACTTGCAAATTCTTGATAAATTCTGCAAAACGAAAACGAGCATAGTTAGTATGAAAAGATAATATAGACATGAAATTTAGTTTAACATCTAGTCAGTAAACTAAATGTAGTATAAATGTGATGAAAACATTATTTTTATGCAAATTTTAAAAGACTTTCAATTTTATACGATCATTATCAACTACGAAAAAGGAAAGAAACAAATGACGTTACAAATAACGAAGACTTCAATGCTAAAAAACATAAACGTTAACAACAATATCGAGAAGAATGTCAACATTTGACAATAACGTTAATTATCATGAATAATAAATTCATTGCATTTACTCTTTAATACCTATCTACTCACTAATAATTGTAACTCATGTATGAATATCCGCTAAATTGAAATAATCTTGAGGGTGTGGGTGTGAGCGTGGGCCTTATTCTTAGCATGCACCCACACCCACACCTACACCCACACCCACACCCACACCCAAGATGAATTTAGACATACTGAAGTATGACGAAATATGATTTTTATTTCAAATTTGTGATGAATAATCTTTTATAATCCATTAATCTCGGGTTTAGACTAATATGGATATTGTTTGATAAGATGTCTTACAATGATTTCTCACTATTTAATCACTATTGAAAATATCAGTACAAAGTAAAGTAGAATGTGAATGAGTTTTTGTCAGTCTATTCCATACCTATACTTATACTACGACAAATTTGATAAAACTAAGTCCAAGCACGATGTATCAATTTATATACAGCATGGTATATGGTACAAGATGCAAAATGATCACAACTCATAGCTGATATTATTTCCCTTCGTGTCAAACACAGCTAAATATCGTGCTTTCATCGACTTCATTAAGTTATTTAGAACGGGCAAGTCGATATTGTTCTATTCCTTACACAGAATTCTCTATAGATCATCGAGATAAGATGATTCCTACTTATCGACACGATGATTGAGGACCGATTAAAGGTTTTCCATTCGGTTGACGTCGAGACTATTCGACGATCAGTTCATCTATTTTTTAGTTTACATATGTATATGTAGAATTCATCCCATCTTCTAGAGATATACGTGCAGAAATTTGGCCTATGCAACTTGTTGTATTGTATTACAAGACTTTAAACTAGTGCTACAAAAGTTTATCTGAAAATAAAACATCAATTCAAAAGTCGAGAAAACAATTTGAATACTTTCTTTGTTAGTTCTTATTCAATTCTGGTCTTTATGATTAACATTTGCACCCACACCCTATTATGTCGATAAAAATTTTGTCAACGTACCGATAGAATTCATAGAACTAGTTTCCGTCAGACTAACGCATATTAGCAATTCCAATGTCAAAAGTATTGTATGATTATCTATATAATGTGAACGAAGCGACATGCATTTTTAATACATTTACAATGTCGATGGTAATATTTATGAAGATGAATACATGGAATATCGGGGATCATGCCCGATCTATTTCAAATGTTACAGAAAGGATGATGCATGACGAAAATCTATCTGATTCAATCTAGTTATTGCATTTGATAAAATATATCCATCAAAGTTACAGATTAAAATTTGGCATATAATGTTCTTTATAGTTTATTCATTAACAATTTCTGCAGCGAATCAGTAAGGTAACTGATAAAAGATCTTTGCCAACGTGAAGGTGTGGAATTTGGTGATCAACTTCTTATCCAAAATCACACCCACATCCAAATATATTCGTCTCACCAATATATTTACTACTACTTCCAAATGAAACTAATGCTACAGAAACAATCTTGCATGCGTTCCGGTGGACATAGAAACGGGTATTTCTTCCTTTAGATATGACTACACATCAGTCTCTCAATAAAAACATGCGTACTGCTTCATAAATTTCTTTTTATTTCATTCCTCACCGTTAAGGAACTGTTACTAGATAGCCACCATCTAGTGATTCAAGTAACATCTCAGCAAAGATAACATTTTCAATAATCGCCACAGTTCTGCATTCTCTACTAACTATGAAGCCAAGAAAAGAACTCCTATTGCCACAAGGTATTACATATATTTGTTGAATCGATAAAAAACATCTTATAAACATTAAAAGTAAAAGCATTCTTGTTTGTGATTGCTACCGTTACTAATGACTTTCACCATAAAATTATTTTCAGTTTGCTATTTTCATCACATATTTTATGAAGTTCTTTCTTTGCATCATGACCGATTTGGTTACCTCCGAGGTCGAGTGTGGTGAGTGTCTGTGCGAATGATAAAGTGAAGTGAAGAAGAAGAAGAAGAAAAACGAGTATTGTTCTTACTTTGTTCGTTCCTAGAGCATTGGCAAGATCTTGTGCTCCTTTAGCACCAATTTTATTGCTTGTGAGGTAGAGTGTGATGAGCGTCTATGTGAATGATGAAGTAAGGTAAAGAGGAAGAAGAACAAGTATTGTTCTTACTTTGTTGATTTGGAGGGCATTGGCAAGGTCTTGTGCTCCTTTAGTACCAATTTTATTGCTTTGGAGGTCGAGTGTAATTATTGTCTGTTGTGAATGGTTAAGTGTAATGAATAGGAAGAAAAACCGGTATTTGCGTTACTTTGTTGATTTGTAAAGCATTGGCAAGGTCGTGTACTCCTTGATCACCGATTTCATTATATCCGAGGTCGAGTGTGGTCAGCGTCTATGTGCAAGGTGGTTGAATAATGAAGTGAAGTGAAGAGGAAGAAGAACAAGTATCATTCTTACCTTGTTGGTTTGTAGAGCATTCGCTAAGTCTTGTGCTCCTTTAGTCCAAATCTGATTGCTTCGGAGGCCGAGTGTAATTAGTGTCTGTTTGACAAGTGTGAGAAAGATGAAACAAAGTGAAGAGGAAGAAAAAACGAGTATTGTTGTTACTTTGTTGATTTGTAGAGCATTGGCAAGATTTTGTGCTCCTTTAGGACCGATTACATTGTC